TATATATATATTTCTCATTGTGTGTCAATGTTTTCCTATTGAGAACATTATATTACTGTCGAACGTAACAAAGAACACAACTCTTTGGGAGGAGAAAAAAATGACATACGCAACAACGCATTACTCACACATCTGGCACACCGCGCCCGAGTACAGAGGTGGGCACACACAGCTCACCACTCCGTTGAACTCTATACACGTGCCTCCATTTTCACAGGGCTGGAGCGCACATAGACCTGGTCCACCGTGGTTTGGATGTGGTCGGGAGGGGGGTGGGGAGGTGATGGTAGTCAGACATTTTAGTACATTACGGAAGTTGGGGGGCCGGGGGGGGGCGTGGAAGTAGGTCAGGTGTGGGGAGGGTGGGTAGAGAGTGGGGTCGTCAGAATCTAGAAATGTCTGTAGCTTACAGATGTTGATTAGTTGGGGGTGGGGGGCGGGTGTCCTCCTAGCAATGTCAGATAATAATGATAATAATAGTAATTATAATTATAATAATAGTAATAATAATATATATCTTTGTATTTTCAGTTAAATGAGCAATATATGTATTTGGTTCACTATCATTAATCGCCGTAGTTATGTCTCCTTGGTTTAATTCATTAATTTGGCACTCTTCATGATGAGCAATAGAAGTTAAGATACAGTAGTGTCATAAAAATCCAACATGGTCAGTTGCTGATTTCAGTGTACAGTTGTTGTACTGAACTATCACTGTGTGTCCAATTTATAATGAGGCATCACAAAGGGTAAAAACAATAATAAGTATGATATAGCCGTACAGTACGTCATATAGCAAACAAACAAAAAATAAGTTTGCTTTTTACCTCGACGCCGTAAGGTAGGCTACATAAATGCTGGAAATAATAAAAGTAAAGGAAGTAGGGAGATTGAGGTTTGTTTTAAATTGGGCGTGAAGAGAGAGAGAAAGAGAGAGAGAGAGAGAGAGAGAGAGAGAGAGAGAGAGAGAGAGAGAGAGATCCTGAAACACCAAACACGCAGAAACCACTCAAATATTTGTAAAAGATGTGGGGACGAGAAGGATAAAACCTCAGGAAACTCTCAAAATTTGAACACACAAACCAGTTTTTTTGAAGCCCAGGAAACCATTAGAAAAGAATAAAATAAATAGCAACGGCAAGCTACACACCTTCTCCTTTTGGAATACGTGCCACTTTAGCAGAAAAGTTAACCACACACAACTGGGGCTACAATTTCCTTCAAAGAAATCTTTCCCGACTTCTGTGGTATAGATATAGTGGTTGGGTGCTCCACTTTTGAATGCAGGAAACCCGAGTTTGATTCCCGAGTGGGGAGATTTTTATAGAGTAACCCAGTTTTTCTGCTGGGGCGCTGCATCCCTCTCAGCCCAGACTGGCCCTGGCAGGAAGGGTAGGAAGCCTGCCTCCTAAATGATATTAACTGTGTCGATAGAAATGTAAAAACACATACATTAAAATTGAAAACAATATTATTACAGCAGCAGCAGCAGCA